ACGACTACTGCTTCTACTACTACTACTACTACTACTACTACTACTACTACTACTACTACTACTACTACTACTACTACTACTTCGGAGTTTATCAGTACTACGGGTATTCAGCTAGTATTGCGAAACTAAGATTCCCGTGCTGCAGCGGCGTTACTGCTACATGCTACTAGTACAGCTCTACTGCTCCTACACAACGAAAACCATGCTATTACGGCTACACTAACTACTGTTCCCATTGTTCCAGTATTTCACCACGCAGAGCTTGGCACTTGTAGAACCTGAGGTCCTCGATGGGATAGCCCTTCTGCCTGCAGTCCCTCGCGTAGTCCTTGTTCGTCTCTGAGCCGGACATGAGGGTCGTCGCTCCACAGTCCATGATTCCATTGCTTGCTGGTATTGCGCTGGTGTTGGCCTTGCTATGACACTTGTCGTCCCAGTAGACCTCATCGACCATCGAGCTGTCGTCGGTGTGGACTCGCTTCTTGTCGGGTGGCTCGGTGCGTCCCTAGCCCAGTGGCCGGGCTCGCCGCATCGTAGGCCGTTGGCCGATGGTGTTGATGTTGGACTGGCTTCGTAGCTGCCCTTGCCCCTCCCATTGGGTCCGCTGCCGTAGGTCGTGGTCTGCGGTATGCGCCTGGAGGTGATCCTTCTGGGCTGCCCTATCTTCCTTTGGACTTGCCGCGTCCTTTGGTGCCTTTGCTGCTTGACTGGCCTCGTCCGTGTGAACCTCCTGGCGGCCGAACCTGAATTTCCGCCTACCAGCGCCACTACCGGGTAGAAACCGCGTGCTAGCTTCAGGTCGTTGACCCGCTTCCTGGCACCCGCGTAGGCCGCGTAGACTTCATCGTACTTGCCTGGGTCGAGCTCTTAAGCTGTGTTGGGGTCGCGCTGGTAATAGCTCTCGTCGCAGTCGTACCAGGTCTCCTCATCCTCCGCCCAGTACGTATGGTCGTAGTCGTCTGGCTCGTCCTCTGGCTCGCCAGTGTAGAATTCCTCATCGTAGTACTCTGTGTCCGCGTCGACGAAATACTGCTTCGGCTCGTGTATGATGCTCTCCTGCCCGAACGTTGTCTTCAACGCCTCAATAACCTTATCCTGTGTGATATCTTTACCAAGTACCGACATGATGACCGCCTTCTGGTCCGCGCTGTATCCTCCTCGTCGTAGCGTGAGCCAGCCTCGGACCTTCGCCGGTCGCTCGATGTCGTGCGTCCTGAGCTTGCGCTCTGCAGCGCGCACTCTTGAGATGTAGGCGAACAGCGTCTCGCCCGTGGACCGCTTGAGCTTGAAGAGGTACTCCTCAATGTCGTCCACGAGCTCCGTCCTGTCGTCCGTCTTGAAACGATTCCGTAATCTGGCCATGAGTTGTTTCGCCGCGTTGGGCTTGATGAGCTGGTCTGCTGAGAGATCCTCCACTTCGTCCCAAGCTTCGCCGGTGAGACCTGCGCTGAGCATGGGCCACCTTCTTCTCCAATGTGCCTCGCAATGGACATCATCGCCCGCTTCTCGTATTCTTTTCATTTGTTGAGCGTGCCGTCGAACTGTGGAATTCCTCGCTCCGGTAGCACGTCCGCCATTGGCTTGGACATCGTGCTGACCTGAAACTGCAAGGGGTTGCCGTCCGATGCGTGCTGCTCGAAATCGAAACTGCCCTTGTCTAGGAAACCGACTGTGAGGTCGTGTGTGTGTGGGCTGCCGAGAAACTGACTTGAGAATCTCCTCTGAGATCTGCTGCGAAATTTCTGAGATCTGCTGGGAGATCGAAGCTGCTTATGGAGGCGGCGACCAGATCCGAAGAGAGGTCGCTGAGATATGGAAGGTCGAAGCGTGAGCCTGGTAACCGCTACCAATACGAACTTATCAAAGCCCCCGAGGTCTTTGATGGCAACAATAAAAATTAACATCCAGAAGAACATCTGATGATCTCTTCACACCGCTGGCGCGCTCGACTCAAGGGCCCTAAAGGGTTTGGGCCACAACGTGACAGTACGCTCGCTATGCTACAGTCATGCTCTGCACAATACACAAGATGTACAGCGTATATCTCACACGGGGGGGGCCTCTTGGGGTGATTGTTGGGGTCTATAAGGGCGTTTTGGAGCGTCGGAAGCTTGAAAAGGCGAGGACTCTAGAACCAGCGAGCAATCCAAGGGCCATACATGATTTTAGCATCCTGGAGGTCCTTTTGGGGCCCTTTTGGGGCGTCTCGAGGCCTCTTGGAGCTATCTTGTTGGCGTCTTCGGACCGTCTTAGGGGCCATCTTGGGCCACCTTAGCCTCTCTTCTGGCCTTGGTGGCCGTCTTGGAGGCCATCTTGATTGTTTTGAGGTCATGTAGACCTTATCTTAGTAGGCGATAGCACCAACGGGAGACACCTTTTCCGCGCGGCCGGCGGGATAGGCCGAGACAACATTGGGGATTGTTTAGACGAGCCAATGCATCCAACAATCTGGCACGCTGTGCACATCTGCGGCAAGTCACAGGGCAGGAAGCGGCGGATCGAAGACACCTACGGCGAATCACCGCCGCCACCTTCCTTTGAAAACGCCCATGCGGCCAGACGTTGGGCCGGTGTCTGGTCAAGGTAATGGACTATGTGTTCCCCCATCCGTTGTGAAACCCCTCCTTTGGGGGGAGAGGTTGGAGCAGGAGGGAGAGGAGAAAGAGGAAGAGGAGGAGGAGACGAAGAATGCGAGCACGAATAATCGCAAGACTAGCAATTATCAAAAGAAGACGGATATCAATCATGAGACGAAGACGAAGAGAAGGCCTCGTGAGGCCCTCTTGTGGCCTCCTGGGGGCTTCCTGGGAGCCGCTTGGTGGTCTCTGAGGGGCCTCTTGGGAGCCTCCTCCTGAGGCCCCTTGGTGGCCTCCTGGGGCCTCTTGGGAGCATCTTGGGGGCCTCTGGGAGCCGTTTGGAGGCCTCTTGGCCTTTGGAGGCCGTCTTGGGGCCCTCTCTTGGCAGTCGTGTGTCCGTCGTTGGGCGCCTCCTGGCCGTCTGACAGGCTTCTGGGGCTGCCTTGGGGCCTCTTGGGCCGTCTTGGTGCCGTCGTGGGGCGGCCTTTCTGATGGTCTCTTGAAGCCCTCTTGGACCTTCTTGGGCCGATTCTTGGGGTCTATGGGGAGCGTCGGAACACCGAAAGGGCGAGGATGCTGAAATCACTGAAACACCGCTGGAACACACGTGATTTTAGCCTCCGAGAGGTCATCTTGGAGCCTTTTTGGGGCGTCTTGGAGGCCTCTTGGGTTGTCTGGAGAGCATCCTGGGCCGTTATGTGTCATCTTGGCAGTCTTGGAGGCGTCTGGGGACCGTCTTGGGTGCATCTTGACCTCTCATCGTGACCGTCTCGGAGGCCATCTTGGCCGTCGATCGGGCCATTCTGATCCCATCTTAGGCGATAGCGCCGGCGGGAGACGCTTTCTGGGTGGCGGGCGCGATTGGTTCTCCTGTTGGGGCCCTCTTGGGACGCTCTTGGGATGCTCTTGGGTGCCTTCGGGTCCCTCTTGGGGCTCGCTTGAGCGATCTCTCAGCCGTATCAAAGCCTCAGAAGCGGACCTGACGCGAACAGACGACAATGTGATTATTATTGAAAAGCGTTTGTGTTTTGAGTGGTTTAAGCTTAATGTGTATCCTTGAGCGACTCCGTGGCCACTTGGAGCCATCTCAGGGTCTCTCCGATGCGCGTTCGGGAGCACATTGAGCCATCTTGAGCTACCTTGTGCCATCTTGTTGGCCTTCTTGGGCCCTCTGAACCATCTCAGAGCCATCTGGAGCCCAAGAGTGCGTTGATGAACTCAGAGGCCCCCCCCGTGAGTTTCGCGTGTCCCTCCCCCAATGAGATTTTAGATTTGTTTTTGAGGGGGGATGGTGGGCGGGACAGCAAATCACATGCCTTCTCACCTGCGGCAAGCGGGGGTCGGCGAACATCTCCTGTGGCAGAAGATGGAGCTTGATACGTTTAGCACGTAGCTTTACACAGCGTATGGCGAACTGCTACTCTGTCAAGGCGCGAGTCCGAGAACCCCCCGCGTCACGTATATCACTTTCTTCAGCATTTCAAGACAAAGGGGCGGCAGGGTAGCACTCTCAGGCATGCCCAGGACGGAGATACTTCGCTCCAGAGCGTTGTGAAGCTGCCGCCGCGCCCGACACATCCTGCAGACCCGCCAGCTCTCAGAAATTCACGATCCGTCTTCATCAGACTCTGTCTCCACCCTGCCCCCCGCCCTCGACTGCAGCAGTGCGGGCAGGCATGATGGCACCTCCCCCCTCTCGGCCACCACGGCGCGTCGGGAGTTCCCCGGACGCCGCCCCCCCCCCCCTGCCCTCAGGCTCCGCACCCGAGCGGCACCGAGGCCCCCCCTCGCCCCGCGCACGCCGCGGACGAGGCGGAGGGCGCCGCCCCCCCGCCGGACGGCGAGGGGCAGGCGGGGGCGCCGAAGGCCCCGCTCCCGAGCGGCGCCGAGGCCCCGCCCGACGCCGCGGGCGAGGCGGAGGGCACCGCCCAGCTGCTGGGCGGCGAGGGGCAGGCGGTCAGGGGCGGCCCGACCGACCCCTGGCAGACCACATCCCCTCCCGGGATAAAACGACGCGAAGATCGGGACAAAATCGGATCGGGATAACTCGAAATCTCTGAGAATCGGCGGGTTTGGAGGATGTATTGGGCGCCGCGGCCGCTCCAGAGCGTTCCGGAACGCTCTGAGAGCGCTCCGGAACGCTCTGGAGCAATCAATCCCGATCCTAGCCCTGTTTTACGGGACCTCCCCCGTCGCCTCGCCCCAAGACGCATGCGTGCGGCCGGAGGGGAGCTTTTGAGAGTCGAGGGCGGCGTCACGGAGGGGGATGGTTTTTGGTCGGGGGTCGGTCAGGCCGCGCCCGAGGGGGAGTCGAAGGCTTCGGCTCCGGCCGGCCCCGCGGTCTTGGCCTCGGCGTGGGGCAACCAGGCCAGCAGGGCGACCCTGCGGGCCAGCGGCTCGCTGGCCAGCTCCGCGGAGGAGGACGACGAGGATCAGGGGCAACATAAGAGGGGGATACGCTTCAGAGGGGGATGCATCGGTTTCGCTATCGGGGCCTATCGCCGATCTATAGGCGATGTATCGCCGATTCCAGAATTCCAGGTCGATCTTTTCCCCACTGAGCTGCCCCCCCCTAACGTTGCCCCTCAGAGGAGTTGGAAAAGCAGCCCTGGTGCTGGGCGTGCAAGCAGCACTGCGGCAAGGGCAAGGGCGGCTGGTGCTACTGGCTGTTCGTCCTCTCGTTCCTGTCCATGCTGTTCCTGTTCCCTCTCTTCCTGAAATGGATGATAACCGTGCCTATGCCGCTAGAGTACTGGAACCAGCTCTTCCCGGAGTTCCCCGTGCTGTCAGACCAGACGTTCGTCCAGGAGCAAAAAGTGTCAGGCTACAGCGTGGACATTTCCCCTATTCCAACCACGTGGAGCGGCTGCAACCACACTTGCGGCGCGGCGGGCGGATTCCTTCAGACCAGCGAAATGAATTTCCAAGTCGACATGTCTCTTGAGGCCCCGGGCTACGACCACACCGTGTACCCGGTGCTCTTCGCGTCTAACGACTTCCAGAAGTGGTGGTTGGCTGCCGACAGAAGGCACGCGGAGCCCCAGCCCTACTTCGCGGGCGTTTCCTCAGATGACGTGGGGCACAGGTACGTAACCGAGCAGTGCACTCACCCGCACCACCTGGACGACACTACGACAACCAGCGGCACTGCTTCGGCGCCGTCGATGGACACATATGCGACTAGCCCTACCTACGTGCTCGTCTGTGTGGCTTGGGATGTTGAGAAGCTGCGCTTGCACGAGGAGGCGGAGGACGCCGAGAACTACGATCTCAGTAAGGAGGACCTGGCCACGATGTGCAACGCAGTCGGTGGCGTTGCCGGCTGGCCCTGCGGCAAGAACCCGGGCGCTGCTGCCTTGCCGGGCGTGCGTGCTGACGGGGTGATCCAGGTGGACCCCCCCAGCGGCACGGTGGCAGGCGTCCTTGTGAACAATTCCCACTTCGAAGGCGCGGCTTCCATCCACGCCTGCCTCAGCTCCCCGGATCATGCCGAGTGCGTGGCCTCCACGCTCAGAATGTCAGACTGGCCGTGCCAGCAGTGCGTGGACGTCGAAGAGAAGCAGTGCGAACCAGGCCTCCAGGGAGGAGGTTGGTTATTGCATAATGCAACCCCTAGTCCTAAGAACACATTTTGGTCCACGGTTTGTAGGGATATCTCAAACGTACGGGCGGTTTCGTCCTAAGACATCTGCAAACATGGCCCTTCTACCCCTAATGTTTTCGGCCTTCCCATCTTTGGTCCCCTCCCAAAGGGTTAGGGGTAATTTGATTGCTTGTCAGTTGGGGGGAAAGGGAGAGAAAGAGGGAATGGGGAAACAACTAGGAGAGGTGTATCGTGAGGGGGACGGCCCAGAAGGAAGGACTGCGGACAGGGTGCGCCAGGCCCACAGTGCTTGCAGACCGATCGCAAGCCCATTGTCACGCTCAACATGTACGACAGCTATCCGCAGCTCGAGATTCAACTGAAAGGGATGCCCACCGATGAGGTGAGGCGCGGGTCGGTGCCGAGGGCCTTTGTGATGACGTCCCCGCTGCACTATGCGGGCCAGGAGGCATGGGGCCCCTGGGGCCTGACGGACGGGGGCACCTGGAGGAAGCTCTACGAGCCGCACAAGTACTATGTCGACAACAGCAACAACGAGCTGGAGCGAGCCCCGCCGCGCCCTTACGCCGCCTACCTGGCCGAGCTGGAGGGCGACTCCGACGAGGCCGAGTACACCGGGGGGGGCGAGTCCGAGGCCAGGCGCCTCGCGGCGTCCGCGGGCGAGGCGATGGGCGAGCTCGCGGGGTCGCTGGCCCAGTTCGCCCGGAGGCTCAGCCGGCGGGGTGACGAGACCGAGGAGGAGGAGGAGGAGGAGGCCATGAGCGACCAGCCGGAGGACACGACGCCCTACGTCCCCGAGGAGGACAATGCGCGCAACAAGATGGAGTTCTACCAGCGCAACCGCGTCTCGCTCCAGCCAAGCTGGTGCTTCGGGGAGCGAGGGCCCCTCTACCTCGTGGCGTGCGCCGCGAACGAGAGCACCTTCGCGGGCGGCTTCTCGCTCGGCGAGGGCCAGGCCATCGCACCCCCGCCGTTCAACGACCGCTGCCTGGCTGTCTCGGGCCGCTGCGCCTATGCCTGCATGGAGCAGCAGTCGCCTGGCATCAAGTACTGCGACGCGAGCGGGAGAATTGATTGGAGCATGCTCACTGAGAACTTCGAGCCTCCATCTAACAGCGGCGTAGAGGTAAACATATTCATTCAAGACGCTTCGCGTTTGTGCCCCGCCCCTTCCAGTTTTCACGCCGGGAGAGGCGAATACGGCGCTAAGAATGGGTGGCAATATTCTGGAACACATTTTGTGTTCTGTATTTTCTCCTGCGCTCTAGCTCTCCTCCATTCCACTGGCAGATTGGGCTCAGGTGTGCCGTGTGGCTGATCCATGTGGAGGTCGTCGATTCGTCGTTGCCCCGTCCTCGTTTCCAACGGATCAGTGGTACGGCTGCTGGCTCTTTGGAGTTCGTGCTATTCATCTACTTGGAACGGCCGCCTCGCGGGCGGGGCGACGCGCCGGCCGTTGCGCGCATCCTTCCCGTGGTCGTGGCCAACCGTGCCGCGGTGGGCCTCCAGCCGAGCACTGGCCCGGGCAAGTGCGAGGTCGTCCCCGCTTGCTGCGGCGCTTCCGACATGTCCCTGGACGGCTTTCCGCCGGGCTTCCGCATCTGCACCGATCGCAGCTTCGAGCTGCTCGGCGCGCCAGTAGGGGGTACGGCATTTTGTGAGGAACGCCCGACGCAACGGGTCGCGAGCGCCGCCGCGCTGCTGGAAGTTCTGGGGCAGTTCGAAAACGCGCAGGTCGCGCTGCACCTCCTTCGCCAGTGCGCACTCCGCGCGCGTGATGCCGCCCACCGCGCACACCGCCTCTGTTGGCCATGGACGACGCTGTCCGGGCCTGCCTTGAACTGAGCGGTTGCTGGCCATCCGACGCTTCTTGGCAGCAGGCTCAGCTCAAGCTCCGTAAGGAGGACTTGGCTTGCGTTCTGCCGCAAAGCGCGCCGCCGCCGCCGCCTGCGTCGTTTTCAGGGCAACGAGCGCCGACCCCTGTCGACAGCCTTACCCTGGCCACTCCAGCGCTGACCGCGTCTGTGATCGAGTGGCGGCCGTGGTGAAGGCCCATAGTGCAATCGTGCGGGACGCCGACCGGGTGGTTTCCCGACCGCGTGCAGCACGGCGACCGGAAGGCCCTTTCCGACGCGGTAAACAGCACCGCGCTCGACGGGCTTCTGGCGGGCGCCACCCTGGCCCGCAGGGCGCACCTTTTACCTGGCGCAGGCCCCGGGCGCTGCCGCGTGGTTCCAGGCGCCGCCCTGCAAGGCCACAGGCACCGCGTTCCCGCGCGGTCTCATGCAGGTCGGCCTGCAAAAAATGCGGCTGCGAGCCCAGCACCTGCAGGAATAGTTTTTTTTTTTGTTATCTCAGCCTGAGGCGAGGTTTTGGACGTTTGCGACCACGCCTTGATCTGCGCCTGCCGCGGCGACCCGATCGAACGCCACAACGCCCTGCGCAACCGTTTTTTTCGACGCCCTGGCCGCAGGCCACGCTGTGGCGGAGTCGGAACGCCCACGGCTGCTTCCTCCGCGCCCCGACCGGGAGGCCACCTATGGGGGCGAGCAGGCAGGGCGAGCCCCAAGTTGACGACAAAGTCCGCCGCCCTGCCGACGTCTACATTCCACGGTGGGGCAACGGCGCGGCGGCCGCCTAGGATTTTGCCGCCGCTTCCAGGTTGCGCGCCGATCTACTCCTCGCGCTGGGGCGCCCGGCGCGGCGACTGAGCGGCGCGACGATTTCAAAAGTCCGCGCCGTGACACCGCGTTTCACTGCGCGGCACAGGGCTTCATGTTCTTCCCCGTGGTACGGCGGCGGGCGCGGCCGCAAGGCACGCAGGGCCGTCAGGGTCCTGGCCACGCGGGTGGCTGACCCCTCGAGGGAAGACGCCGCACTCGCTGCGGACAAACATGCCCAGCGATGTTCCGTTTCCTTTCAGAAGCGAGAGCGCGCGGGCGGTGTCGCAGCGCCTCCGGACGCAGCTCGGAGGGGCGGGTGGAAGCGGCCCGCCTGGCCGCGGCCACGTGTGCCTCCACTGCGGACGCCGTGCGAGTGCCCCCTGGCGTTGCCTAGCGCCCCCCGCCCCCCGCCCCCCCGTCCTTGCTGAGCAGCGCGGGCGCCTCCCGCGTCGCGTCGTTGCGCGCGCCGTCCAGCCCTTCCTGGGCGAGGAGGTGGGTGACCCCGCAGACGGCTCTCCCCACCCAGCCGCAGCGCGTTGGGCTAGCCAGCCACCCGGCCCATGTCGCCGCCGTAGGGTCCGTGGCCTCGTAGCGGGTGGCCCATCTCTCCCAGCCTCTGGCCTGGCCTGTTTGTTTGCGGTTGTTTCCCCTCCCCTCGGCCTCGTTTTCCCCCCCTTCCTCCTCACTTTCCTTTCGCTCCTTGCCTTGTCTGCTTGCGGCTGCTTCCCCTCCTTCCTTGCCTCCCTCTCTTCCTCCTGCTTCCCTCCTGGTGTCTCCGCCCAGCCCCGCTTCCGCCTGCCCGCCCGCCCCGCCGGCCCCGGCCTCCCGCCTGCTCGTTCGTCGTCGTTTGCGTTTGCCTGCTTGCCCCCTCCTCTCTCTTCTCCCTTCGCCGCAGCGCGTAGAGCAATCAGTGCCATTTTGTGCATGTTCCGTTGTGTGCTCTTGGGGCGCCCAAGCGGGGAGTTTCAGGGCTTTGTGCGATGTCGCGAGAATCATATAAGTGCGGGGGGCTGAGACACGGGGGCGGTCTCACCGCTCGGATTATGGTGCCCCGACCTATTTTGGCCTTGGTCACCAAACACAGTTCCGATCACCAGAAACGTATGTTTGCCGAGTTTGGAGGGTTCTCACGTGTCGGGCCCTGGGAGGTGACTGTCGGTCGACACCTCGCCAGCGCGTCTGACTGACACTGCTTCGATGTATTTTGCGGGTTTCGGAATTATTGCTGGGATGTTGTCCTTCAGTGCGATGAGAACAACATAGTGCTCGGGGCGCTCCCAGGTGAGAGCGCCCCTGGCCCCAGAGCCGTGGGAGATTCGTGATCGCAGGGGGCCAGACATAGCCGGAACATTGCCCAAGACAAGCCAAAGACGGACCGAATCTGGGCCAAAACGCGCCCACGAGGACCGAGAAGGGCCCCGAAAAGGGCTTAAAAGGGGGCCAAGAGGTGCACGAGGCGGCCTGGGGGAGCCTCTGGACGGCCCACGTGAGAGCACGTCCGCGTTGGGCCGCAGCCCCGTCCGAATGCCATCATAAAAAATATTTGAAGCCTCGAGTGTGTTGGCGGAGTTGGGCCCCAGAGGCGTTTTCTAGGGCCCCGGGAACGACTGTTGGAGGCCCACAAAGGGGCCCAGAAAGGGGCAAAATAGAGACAGCTGCGCCATGACAGCGTCTTGGATGGAAACGGTCTGACATTCGAACTCGTTTTGGACGCCGCCTGGAAGCCGTCTTGGGGCTCGACGAGGGTCGATGGCGCAGCCAGGCGGCGGAACGGCGTAGGCCCTTGGAGAATGCTGGAAGGGAAGGCGCTAACGTCCTACACTTAGCCCTCGCAGTCGGATCTCACACACCCCTCCGCCCGGTGGGCGGGCGGATGCGAATGGCTTGCGCCGTTTCGCCGGTCCCCCGAAGACGGCAGAGTTCGTTCGCAGGGGGTCGGAGGGCCGGGGGCTGTCGACAAGTTCCCCGTTGTTGCCGCTCAGGGTCGCATTCGGGGCCAGACGAAGTGGCTGACATACCTAGTGTCCCTCGGGAGTTCCTCGGGTTTTGAATCTAACATGCGTCTTTTCTAATTGCTCCAGAATAGAAATTCGCCATGTTGGCTTGGAATCTAAAGCCGGACCTTGACAGTGTCCGATTTGAGTTTGAAGACAGCATGCGTTTCCCAACGTTTTCAAGCATGGAGAAATCGCCATTCTGGCTTGACAGTTAAAGTGAACCCCTAACAGTTACCAGTTGGACTTTGAGGTTAATCCACGAATTTGATCCGAGTCGTCTACCTATCACTGCCGGCGGAACTCCTGATGGCGCCTGGTCGGCGCGCGCGGCGACGTGGGATTAGTGTCCCTCTATTGTTGGGTGGGTTGAGTAATGTTTGGGGGTTACTTCTCCCGTAGAATAGCCCAATGTGGGCTGCCCTGCACACGGGAGTATATGTGAGCATTTTCTCACGAGGGTTGCAAAAGAAACGTGTTTGTTTTGACCCAGAAGTTTTCTCGGATTGGCTTGCCTCTTATTGCTAGAAAAAGTCCTTTTCGCGCCTAGTCGGCGCTGGTGGCGACGTGGGATTCGTTTCCCATTATTGTCGGGCGGACTGGATAATGTTCGGGGATATATTTATGCCGTGGAATCATCCATTGTGGGCTGCCCTGCACGCGGGAGCATTTGTGAGCATCTTCTCGTGAGGATTGCAATGCAAGTGCGCTTCGTTTTGATTCGCGAGTTTGCTCAAACTCGCCTGCCTCGCACTGCCGGCGGGACTCCTGCTGGGCAAAAGCAGCGCTGAGGCCAAGAGTTTCGACAAGGACAAGGCCAACGACGCCGACGAAGACGACGACGACGATGATGTTGTCGCCGTGGTCGTCGGTGTCGCAGCGGAGATTAGTTTTCCTTTCTTGTCGGGCGGGCTGTATCATGTTTTTTTCCTGTGGAGTAATCCACTGTGGGTTGCCTTGCACGGGAGGGTTTGTGAGCATCTTCTCACGAGGATTGCAATAAAATCGTGTTTGTTTTGATTTGGGAGTTTTCTCAGATTGGCCTGCCTGTTACTGTTCGCAAAAGTCGTTTTCGCGCCTGGTCGGCGCCGGTGGTGACGTGGGATTAGTTTCCCACTATTGCGTGGTAGGTTGGATAATTTCGGGGGCGTTTCCTCCCACGGAGTAATGCATCCTGGGCTACCGTGCGCCAGCCTTGCTAAGGAGGAGGGGGAGGAAGAGACGGAGGAGGAGTGGGGGGATCCTTTTCTCCCAGTGAATAATGTTCTCTGGGCTACCCTTACCCTGCACGACAGAGGATTTTTGAGCACGTTTGTGAGAATATTGCTCTATAGCTCGACACATTCGTTGCCCAGGGCGCTGCTCGCCATCCCCTCTTTCAATTCGCCGCTTTTTTTACGAGGATTGCATCGCGCGGTTATATACAGTTTCAATGTGCATGCGCATGTTCAGCGTCGGCTCCCGCGACGCTGCACGCCACGTTGTTCCTCATTATTGTTCGCCGTGCTGGATATGTTTTCACTCGGCGAAGATGTTCCCTGGGCTACCCGGAGGACTTCTGAGTACGTTTGTAAGACGATTGTAACGTAGATCGCATTCGTCGCCGAGTCCGGTTCTCACAGTCAGTAGCGTAATCACATGTGTAAGAAGATTGCACTATGGATCGCATTCGTCGCCGAGGCTGTTTTTCACAGTCTGTCGCGCGATATCTCTTCGTTTGCGGGGGAGTTCCAACGCAGGCCAGTGCATCTTCAATCTACATTTACAGTTTCGTCGTCGGCGCCCGCGCTTCTTCAATCTACAGTTACAGTTTCGTCGTCAGCGCCCGCGTCGCCTACGACGAAACTGTAAGTGTACATTGTGGAGGGCTCGCGCGGGGCCTGAGTTGTGACTCTCCTTCTCAGGATGGGTTTTTCCAGGATCAATCTTCTCATGACCGATTTTCCGAACCAAGATTTTCCATGAGAGCGCTCCTGAAACATAGCGACCAACTAGCAGTCGTCGTAATCGTAGTTGCAATTTTAGTTGTAGCTGCTGTCGGGTGCCGCGGGGGAAAATATGCAGTTTTCTTTCATTGGTGGAACACCAATCCGTGAATAAGGCTGCCGATATGGAGGGGTGTAAAGACCTCTCCCGGTTACCCCATGAGACGCGAGCGTTCAGATCCGTCACACATCACACGGAGACATTTGGTTGTTGCCCGTTGGGGACCTCTTACAGATTTTCTTTGGGCTTTCTTGGGCTGTCTTGGGGCCTCTTTGGCCGTTGGCAGTCTTGAGATTATCTTGGCTTCTGCCTTGTGGGCGTGTTGGAGCCTTTTTGGCGCCTTCTTGCAGCGCATATTGGATTTCTTCTGTGCTCTGTGGCCCCGGAGGTGCGCTTGCGATCTCGCTGCCTGCCCCCGCCCAAACCAGGTCCCCCTCCGGGACCCCCCGCCCTCCAACGAGTTGTTTGACCACGAGCCAAATGTCTTGTACGCCTCGTTGCCCTCCGCAAGCGGGGGTCGGCGGATTTGGATGCTCCTCTTCGGCTTTGCTGTCAAGGTGGTAACCTTTTTCCCTGGCCTGTTCGTGCCTTACAAGGCGGCGAGGTATTACGAGCAGCAGCAGACGGATCAGTTCAAGTACATATCGGTGGTCTGTCCGACCAGCAGCGAGACGAAGGCATGCGTTTTGCGCAACCTCGTCGGTGCCATATCCAGCATGCCCAGCAGCTGTCGCTGCCCCTTTAACGTGGTGGTCATGGACGAGGGGCACCGCCATCCGCAGAAGGCGATGTTACCCCGTCCTTCTTACCCACGAGTCGTAGGTAAACCTGCACAGTTTTGTCGAACGTGTTCCCTAGTTTGCAGAAGGTCACTACGGAAGTCCGATCCGCCGTTTTGAAGCTCTCGTAAAGCTCCAGTTGCTAGTTTTTTTTTTTTTTTTTTTTTTTTTTTTTTTTTTTTTTTTTTTTTTTTTTTTTTTTTTTTTTTTTTTTTTTTTTTTTTTTTTTTTTTTTTTTTTTTTTTTTTTTTTTATATATATATATATATATATATATTAATACAAAAAAAAAACTATCAAGCTTGTAATGGACCGACCAGCAGGTGATGTTCCGGGCGTTTGCCGAGGTGTTGGACAAGATTCCAGACGGGAAGTTTGGAAGTGGCAAGGTCTGGCCAACAGAAAGCCCAGGGTTAGCCCAGAGGGACCGTGCGTGCTGGGAACTCCCCATTTGGAAGGGGTCGAGGAGGAGCTTCTCCGCCCAGTCCCCCTCATGGCTGGCACGCACTCTCTTGGTGCTACCCCTGGACCTCCCGTTGACCCAAAGGGATCTCGTTCTCCGAGGGCCTCGAAGGAGAGCCTCAAGGAGAAGAACGTGAGGGCATTCGCGAAGGAGTGGGTGGAGCTGACCAGGAGCTGCAAGTTGGAGGACTGCAACACCGACAACATTGCCAAGAAGATCAAAGAGTTGTCGCTGTCGGAGGACAGCAGTGATGAGATCAAGAAGCTCAACGGTAAGCTGGACAACCTCTGCGGCAAGAAGGCGTTGCAGGTTTTGCAAGAACGCAGCGGCTGGCCGAAGGCCAAGGACGGCAGCGGGGCCGCGAACCCCGAGATCGAGCAGCTGGAGGCCGCAATCGTGCAGCTGCGCAGGGAGCTGGTCGTGGGTGAGAGGACCTTTGACACCTGCTACGAGAATGCGAAGCCGGTGCACCTGGACGACTGCGAGGCAGGGCTCGGCCTAAACGATGTTTTGGCGATTTCGTGGGCCCTTTTCGCCTTGACTTTCGTTTCGCAGCAAAGGAGGAGCGAAGACAAATCGAGGGACAACGAAAACATAACGAACACGAACAACATCGTTTAGGTCGAGCCCTGCTGCGAGGCCCGCGCCTGGGTGCCGAAGTCGACGGCGGAGAACCGGAGGCCCCGGCCTCTGTACATCCTGCATTACGTCGCGCGAGCGAAGCCGGACGAGGACGAGAGGACACTTAAGACACAGCACGTCGCCCGCGGCTGCTGGTACTACAAGGTGCTCCCAGCGGCATCTCGTGGGCGAGTAGCATATCCGTATCCGCGGCCTCGCGGACTGGGCCCCTGGGCCGCGACCCCACGGATACGGATGCGTTTTTTCGCGGATGCCCCTAGCAGAACGTGTCCGTGCGACCACATATCCGCGGGATCGCGCCCCGGAATCCAGACCGCGAGGGCGCGGATACGTACATTTATGCCTTCGCCTCTCGTGAATGTTGGAGGTTTGCGATTCGAGGGCCAGAGGAGGAAACCGAACCGACGCCGATACCTGGCCCCTGTCATTTGGGCCTTTTGGGGGGCCCTCGTCGCCTCGGTTGGATCCGCCTCAGAAGCTTGTCCTGAGCGCTCGGGGCTATCGATGCGATGTGCGAGGGGTCTTCGATGCGATGTGCAAGGCTTGCGTTCGATTCGTATCGGCTTCTCGTCCTGCTGCGCGTATCCTCATTCGTATGGCTTCATCTTGGTGGTCGTGGCTAATAGGGCAATCATGCGTAGTGTCTGGGAATACCCGATCCAATTTGAGCTCCAGGGTATCATCTCCCAGGGTCCCAGGGATCCTGGCATGACTACGTTCGTGCGCACCCCCAGGCTTGGACCTCCTTATCACCAACATCACCAGACTATCAGGTCCATACTTCTCATTATTCACCGTGATCCTCTTCATCACCAGCACCATCACAATCTTGGCTATCACCATCCTCTTCTTACTCACTATCCACTTGGCCTTTCTGATAATCATTGTAATCATCATCATGCTAATCGTCATCAGTTTACATGTTCGCTATTTCCTCTATCTATCTCTCGCCCTCCCTCTTCTCCTTCACACTCTCTCTGTGCATAAGGCCATACAGTGGGATGAGGCGATGGTGGAGGATCCCCCGACACATTCATCATGGCTTCACCAGGTTTGCACTTTCGTTATCCCCAAACATGCTCGTTACCCGTTTGCCCACAGACTACGGCTTTTCAGTAGCGCAATTACCCCAACAGCACCATACGGCGCAGAGGCGTGGACGCTCACATAACCTCTTCGACAGCACCTGAGGCGGTCGTGACGACGTCCGCTTCGCATGATTATTGGAACTTCGAGGCGAGGCACTACCCACCAGCCAACCCGCGCAGGAACCCAGGCATCATGGATCACGGCACGCCCAACGAAACACCAGACAACGACCCCAGAAGAAGAAGAAGAAGAAGCAGCAGCGACGACGCACCACGCGACGCAACCGAAAAGACCGACCGACACAGCGAGACCGACGACTTTCACGACGACGAGGACGCGATAGAGCCGTTCATCGACTACGCCCAGCGCGCCACATTGCGCGCAGAGCAGTTTATGGCACACCACAGCATCGCAATCGGGAGGCGATTTGCATACGGGCATTTGCATACAACGGTCGTAGCCCGTGGCGTCGAGGGTTGCCAATCATGAGGGCAACAGATGATGAACATGGCGTATGTAGCGCTGGCGACCGGATGCCAACCATCGCCAGCATAAGCGGTGGGACGACGACATCAATACTTTTCTACTGCAGTGCAGATCAGACATTCGCCCACCACCAGCTAGCTCGAAGGGACAACCAATTCACACGACGTGGGTACAAATTGCGCATGACGTCATCTCCTGGTCGAGGCTTGAGATTGACCACCAACCGTTATATAAAACCACATGTCACTAACGATCATACACAGCCGCACGGTGCCGCCCGCGCACAGAGACGCCGACTACAAGGCTTCCTCCGGCCCCCCTCTACCCAGCAACTATGTATGTTTCCCATACGCAACAGTAGCTAATGGCCTTCGGCCCATCCGGCCACCGTGCTTGGGTTGTGGGTCATAGGTCTCCAGGATGTTCGTTGGGATGCCGCGGGAGGCCCTCGAGAGCCTCTTGTGGGCTGTTTGGGAGCCTCTTGCGGGCCATTGTGGGTCCTCCAGGAGCCTCTTGGGGGACTCTTGGGGTTCTCGTGGAGCCTCTTGGGGGCCTCTTGGGGCCTCCCTGGGACCTCTTGGGGGCCTCTTGGGGCGGACGACTCGGATTTTCGAGTGGTGTCAATGGGCCGTCTTGGGCCGTCTTGGGCGCCCCTGGGGCCGTCTTGCATCTCTCTTGGGCCGTCTGGGCCCCCTCTTGGGGGCCTCTTGGGCCGTCTTCGGGCGGTCTTGGGGGCGTCGTTGGCCGACTTGGAGCATGGGGAGCTCGAAAAGTCGGGAATCCATGTTGTTGGCCTCTCTGGACCCTACCGGGAAGGGTCTTGAGGCACTCTTGGGGCGCCTCGACGACTTCTTGGGCCGTCTTGGGGCCATCTTGGGCGTCTAAGTCCGATCGTGTGGAGATTTGGGGCCCTCTTGAGCCGTCTGGCTGGCCTTTTGGGGCCCTCTTGGCCCGTCTTGGGGCCCTTTTGGACCCGAAAACATCATGCGGGAACAAGCCTTGAATCCCAGAGGGCACGCGGGACCCCCCAGGAGATGTGGCAATTTGGGGTCTGGGCCTCCACAAGAACCTTCAGGACTGAGGACCGCGGCGGGCACGGTGGCGGATACGCAGAGGCCACGGCCTCGCCCGCAAAGCCTCAGATAGGCCTGGGGAATGTTCCACAGTGGTGGCTCGCTCACAAAGCATGCATATTTGCATGTCGCCCACACCTGCGGAACCCAATACGATATCTTTGGTTGTTTGTGTCTTTCGCTGCCACCACATCCTCTCTCCTCCTTACGTCTGCGCGAGAGAGTCAGAGAGAGAGAGAGAGAGAGAACGAGCAACACATATGGAGAAAGAGATAGAGAGAAAGAGAGAGAGAGAGAGGAATAGAGAGAGAGAGAGCGAAACGCAGAGAGAGAGAGAGAGAGAGACGGGTAAATGATGAAATATACACACATCTTTCCCTCATCATGAGACTTGCCATTGCTTTCTACGTCCTCCACCTGCGTACTCGTCCTCAGCATCCGCAAAAGCACCGCCCCCGTTGTCATGCGTGCTATCATCATCCGCACGCTCCTCGCCATCATCATTGTAGCAACTTTAGTGTGGTGTGTGCTGGGGAAGAGGATGAGCGGCCGCACGACCACAACCGTTGTGCTCAAGCTTTTGAGGGGCACGCAGGGTGCCGCCACGCGCTTCCTCGCGGAGTTTGCGCGCGGGGCATCGCAGGCCTTGGTGGTGAGGTCGGCGACCTCGGCCGCGCCGCCCGCCTGCCCTCCCTGCGCCTGCGAATGCGCTCCCAGCTACCGTCTCTCGTGCCCCGACGTCGCAGGGGCCAGCTTCGTGCATCTGGTCAGTTCCTGGTGCAGTCACGGGGTCACCTTCTTGCTGATTGGCTCGTTCGTGCTGCCCGCTCTCCTGAGCTGCAAGTGGCTGGTCGGGGGCCTGTTCAGAGGCCGCCGCGGCACAGCGTCTGCAGTCGAGAGCTCGCCTTCTGCCGCCTCGGCCGAAGAGATCCAGGTCATTGCAGCGCGGCAAGCTCGAGCAACGATCCAGCATGCCGCGAGCAGGTGATGTGCACGCGATTCGTTACCGCGTCGGCGGGCCGCAGGTGTTCCACGAGAGGATCACGCTGTTCGACGCTCCCCCTTCGCAGGCGGTGATCGTGACAGTCGACGGGGACGTGTACTTGGAGACGGTGGTGGCCAACGCCGACTGCGAGGAGGTGAGGCCGCTGCGCGGGGCCGGTGCTCCTGTGTACGGCGTGGCGGATGTCAACGCGTACCGCTTCCGAGGTGC